TGGGAGGTAATTGGCAGGAGGCGGTCTCTCAGGTACCCAGGTCCGATGCCATGTAGGGCTTTATAAGGAACGACTAGCACCTTGAAGCATTCGCCGGCTGGGGAATTCTGGGAGTTGAAGTCCGGACATCTTCAAGTTGCCAAGGTTGAGAAACACTGTCCTAATGATTGACTGTGCTCCATCTGCCCCCCCCCCCTCTAGAGATTAAGGACCTTGTGATATGCGAACACGAGCGGTCAGTACATCTCTTCGTGGATTCGCTTGTGAACAAGGATAAGCAGAGTTTCGCCTTCCAATGCACGGATTCGGGACGCTTCAAGAAGGGCATTTGCTTGAGTTGTCGGAAGAATCGCTGCAACAGCATCGGCTACAACACCAAGAAGATGCGCAACAAACGCAACAGCAAGATGTACCTCAAGACAAGGGCTGGCATGCCATTCAAAGGTAAAGTGGATCCTACTACAGGTGGTCCTTGACTTGCCAACACAAGTGACTCCAACGTTTCCGTTCCTAAGCGAGACAGTGGCTGAGCGAGTTTTGCCCCATTTTTACCACCTTTCTTGCCACAGTTGTTAAGTGAATCACTGCAGTTGTTATCTCAGAAACATGGTAGTAAACTGAACCAGGCTCCCTCCCCCTTTGAAGGTTGCAAAAGGGGATCGCGTGACCGTGGGACCCTGCAACCGTCATAAATATGAGTCAGTTGCCACTTTTGATCACACAACCATGGAGAATACTGTGTAAAAAGCAGCCATTGGTCATTTTTCTTCAGTGCCATTCCCCAGTCCATGGGGAAGCCGGATTAACTTTACAACCACGTTATTACTAACTTAACAACTGCAGAGATTCACTTAACAACAATGACATGAAAGGTCGTAAAACAATGCAAAACTCTTGTGACAGAAAGTTTGGGCCCGATTGTGGTCGTAATTTAAGGATTGCCTACAATTAATTTACTGGTGTGCAAGAGCTTTGCAGTGGACCAGAGACAACTATCTTCTTTCTCCTCCGTGTAGTTGTGCTTTTCTGGGTCTCTCTAGTCTTCTAGTTTGGGGTCCCAAGAATACATATGGCACTCAGATCCTCTGCCCATTGGTCTTCCCCTTGCAAGCCATGTCTGTCTGTTTGTTGTTGTTGTTGTTATTGTTGTTAGTTGCAAAGTCGTGTCATGACCCCATGGACAATGTTCCTCCAGGCCTTCCTGTCCTCTACCATCCTCTGGAGTCCACTTAAGCTCACGTCTATTGCTTCAGTGACTCCATCCAACCACCTCCTTCTCTGTCATCCCCTTCTTCTTTTGCCCTCCATCTTTCCCAGCATGAGGCTCTTCTCCAGTGAGTCCTTCCTTCTTGTTAGGTGGCCAAAGTCTTGGAGTTTCCTCTTCAGGATCTGGCCTTCTAAAGAGCAGTCAGGGTTGATCTCCTCTCGGACTGACAGGTTGGATCGCCTTGTAGTCCAAGGGACTCGCAGGAGTCTTCTCCAGCACCCTAGTTCAAAGGCCTCCATTCTTTGGCACTCAGCCTTTCTTATGGACCAAACTTCACAGCCATCCATTTCAACTGGGAAAACCGTAGCCTTGACTATACGCACTTTTGTTGGCAGGGGGATGTCTCTGCTTTTTTGTATGCTGTCTTGATTTGCCATAGCTTCCCTCCCAAAGAGCAAACATCTTTTAATTTCTTGGCTGCAGTCCCCATCTGCGGTGATCTCGGAGCCCAGGAAAATAAAATCTGTCACTACCTGTCGGTTTATGTTACCGCAAATTTGCCACTCTAATGATGGGTTCTTGTCTTTCCACAGTTTTCCACTATCAGCTGAAGATCCATGTCTTCAGCTATAAAAATATGGAGAAAACCGAACCGGCATTTTCCGTGACCTTCTATGGGACGAGTGGAGATTCTGAACCTCTACCTCTGGAAGTGTAAGTGGAAAATTTCAAATATCAGCCACTCTCGTTAAAGTTGATATTGGTTTTTTTTTCTAAAAAGGCCCCCTCCATGCTTTGTTTCCCCAGCTCTGTCCTAGGAACAGTTGGTAAATCCCTTGTTTTAAAGAGAGGAACAGCCCAGAGCCTTGGTCAGACCACATCTGGAATAATGCATCCGGTTTTGGTCACCACATTACAAAAAAAAAGATGTTGAGACTTTGAAGTGCAAAGAAGAGCAACTAAGAGGATTAAAGGCCTGGAGACTAAAACATACGAAGGACTTGAGTTTGGATTTGAGAAAGGAAGGACTAGGGGGGACATGATAGCAGTATTCCACTATTTGAGAGGCTGCCACAAAGGAGAGGGGTGTCAACTTGTTTACCAAAGCACATGTAGGCAGAACAAGAAACAATGGATGGGAACTAATCAAGGAGAGAGGCAACCTGGAATTAAGGAGAAACTTCCTAACAGTGAGGACAACTAACCAGAGGATCTTGCCTTCAGACATTTTGGGTGCTTCATCACTGGAGGCTTTTAAGAAGAGACTGGAGAGGTGGTATAGGATCTTCGGCTGGAGTGGGGGGCTGGATTAGAAGACCTCCAAGGTCCCTTCCAGGTCTATTCTGATATTCAATGTCTTTGTGTTCCTGCAGCCCCTGTCTTAGGGTCCCATAATTTGAAATGAAGGTTGGGAACTTCCAGCTTGAGGGTCTAATCCATCTCATCACTCTCTGCATTCCTCTAGAGTGGAGACTATAGAAAGAGTGTAGAGAAGAGCAACAAAGATGATTAGGGGACTGGAGGCTAAAACATATGAGGAACAGTTGCAGGAATTGGGTATGTCTAGTTTAATGAAAAAAAGGACTAGGGGAGACATGATAGCAGTCCTCCGATATCTCAGGGGCTGCCACAGAGAAGAGGGAGTCAAACTATTCCCCAAAGCATTTGAGGGTAGGACAAGAAGCAATGGGTGGAAACTAATCAAGGAGAGAAGCAACTTAGAACTAAGGAGAAATTTCCTGACAGTAAGAATAATTAATCAGTGGAACAACTTGCCTCCAGAAGTTGTGAATGCTCCAACACTGGAAGTTTTAAAGAAGATATTGGATAACTATTTGTCTGAAGTGGTGTAGGGTTTCCTGCCTAGGCAGGGGGTTGGACTAGAAGACCTCCAAGGTCCCTTCCAACTCTGTTATTTTATTCTATTCATCAGCTCGAGTCATGAACCCTGTGGGGCCTTGAGGTCTTCCCTCTGGACCATGGCTGGGCAGGTGGAGAAATGACAATTTGTTCAACTTTGGCTTCTTTTTCAGATCTGATCAAATTGGCCTGAACTATACCAACACCTTCCTGGTCTACACAGGAGAAGATGTGGGTGATATTCTAAGGATCAAACTCACCTGGGAAATCACCAAGAAGTCCTGGTACAATTTTTGGAGCCAAATGAAAAATTACTGGGCCAAGTCTGAGCCCTCATCCAAAGAACTGCAGATCAGACGCATCCGAGTGAAATCGGGTGAAACTCAGAAGAAGTAAGGATTTTGCTGAAGGATCCCCTGTAGGGATCAAGAGGGGATGTAACATCCCGTAGTCTTTCTCTGTTGGTCAGGCTGGCTGGGAGGCAAGGGACGCTCAGTTTGAACTAAACAATTCACACGGGCATGTGTGTTTGTGTACAGGTAGTCCTCGACTTACAACAGTTCATTTAGTGACCGTTCAGAGTTACGACGACACCAAAAAATAGGGACATGACCATATTTCACACCTGATTGTTGCAGTATCCCTGTGGTCACACGATCAAAATTCAGATGCTTGGCAACTGACTCATATTTATGACGGTTGTAGTGTTTTTTGGGGGGGGGTCGTGTGAATACCTTTTGCGACTTTCTGACAAGCAAAGTGAATAGGGAAGCCAGATTCACTTAACAACGGCGTTACTAACTTAGCAACTGGAGTGATTCACTTAACCAATGTGGCAAGAAAGGTCATAAAATGAGGCAAATCTCCATTAACAAACGCCTCGTTTAGGAACAGAAAGTTTGGACTCAATTGTAGTCGTAAATTGAGGACTATCTCAATGTGCATGTTCCCAGACAAGCAAAGTCAATGGGGGAAGCTGGATTCGCTTAATGACCATGGGATTCAAATAACATCTGCAGTGATTCTCTTAACCATAAAATCAACCTGTAAAATTAGGGACAAACCCTTGCTTAGCCATATAAAAGTTAGTTCCAATTGCGGTCATAAGTTCGAGAACTAGCTGCATTTTGCTCTTCGGTATTTCTTTTTGAAAAATTAAAACAAGCTTCCCCCCCCCCCCCAAGAAATCAAAATCAGGTGCAATGAAGTGCAAAGAAAGGAATTTGAAAGGGGATGATAGGATGTTGAAAACGATATAGAAAATAATGTTAAAAAAGCAGCAAATTCATACTGGTAGCTATTTTAGTTGGGAATCCTCCTAATCTGGTTTCTTGTTCAGTTTATGAATTAAAATTACTTTTACGCTCTTTCCCCCCCAAAATAAGCCCTCCCCAGATAATAAGCCCAATTGGGCTTTCGAGCGCATGCACTAAAATAAGCCCTCCCCAGAAAATAAGCCCTCCCTGAAAATATTTAAACGCATGCGCAGCCGGTCTCCACCATTTCCTCTGGTTGCTTGCCCCGCAAAGAACACGAAGTGAGGAGGTGAAGACGGAGGGGGGGAAAAGGGAGGGGGAAACATGCCCCATGCACCCTACATGCCCTTACCTAACAACCACTCCCGCAACCATAGCCACCGGGCCCCTTCTCTCACGCTAATGGCCACTGCAAAAAGAGCAACAGGCCCAGCGACGCACAACACAGCAGTAGCCATGAGGTGACCACGCTCGCCGGCTCCTGCACCAAAAAAATAATAAGGCGTCCCTGAAAATAAAGCCAAGCTCTTATTTCGGGGGGGTCAAAAGAACATAAGACCCTGTCTTATTTTCAGGGAAACGCGGTAGAAGCAAGACGTTAATTAGCAAGAGAAAGGCCTGAATAATACTTCAACCTAACCCACAGCTTTATAAATTAACTCAAGGGTATAGTAGAAGAACCTTTTACAAACGGGAAAATTAATTTAAGGGAAACAGTCTGCTCATCTGCTATCTTCCCATGAATGTAATTTCAACCATCCCCAATCTATAACATAAATCTTTTGGTTCTTCATGATAATAGATGCCAGTGAACTCTTTGTAGAAAGTAACTGTCGGAGGAAACATGAATTACAAGAGAACATTCCCTGTGGGTGCTTGATTTTAAAACTTCGTATTTATCTACCTAGTTAGAATTTTTTTTATCTATGAGGGATCCTTGGTGCTTTCTGAGCTTGATGGCTTCCTTGCAGATGTTTCATTACCCAAACTAAGAAACCTCATCAGTGCATCAATCCTGATGATGTTACCTAGTTTGGGTAATGAAAGGTCTGCAAGAAAACAACCAAGCTCAGAGAGAACCAAGGACCCAGTGGTGGGTTGCAGGTGGTACGCCCTGGTACGGGCGCACCGGAGCCTGCCCGGAGCACCGGATACCGTTGCGGTATGGTGCTCCGGAGGGCCCACCCGCCCACCGAAACTCCTTACTGATCTTTTAAGTCTTCAGCGCTTCCACGCATGTGCATGGTGCATACAGCGCCTGCGTGACGCTCTGCTGAGCAGCTGGAGCGTCATGGAGGCGCTAAGCCGCATGCGCGTGTCCATGTAGATCCGGAAGCCACCACTGCAAGGACCCCTCATTTTAACTCCGAGCAACAAATATTCTCCTTTATCGGTATTTTTAGCTATGATTTCTAGAGTCACACAAAGGTCAACCAATGAGAAGAGCACAGCCTATTGTTAGCCAATCTCTTCTATGTATAGTCAACTGATCCTCATCCAGGCTTACATTCCATTAGTTATCTTACTAATCTGGAGCAAATCCAAGAATTTAACTCCCACAAATCTCGGGGGAGACATTCCTCAAAGACCGCCCCAGTAGTAGGAGGGTAGGATGCTGCTCGTCTCCGGTCGGCTTGCAAAATTGGACATTCAGAAGAACCACAACTCTGTGTTGCAATTGTAGAGAGAACCATTATGGTGTAGCACAGGTGTCAGCAACCTTAAATACTCAAAAAGCCACAAAGATCCTAACCAGAAGCCCCCCATTCAATTCTGGAGCCGACCGGAAGTCCAATTCCCCCACCATAGAGTCTCCTTCTAGCACGGCACCCTTTTTCCTCTATCTGTCCTAACCAAAAGCCCTATCAATTGTGGAGCCAACCAGAAAACCTGCCCCTTGCCATAAAGTCTCCTTGTGCGCCGTGCTTCCCCCCCCCAACCAGAAGCTGCTCTCAAAATTGTGGCATCGACCGGCAACAGGGAGCCGCAGCAGAGGAATGAAAGAGCCACATGCGGCTCCAGAGCCGCAGCTTNTCTGGGTCCTCATTTCACCCACCTCGGAAGGATGGAAGGCTGAGTCAACCTTTAGCCGGTGAGATTAGAACCGCCGAACTGCAGATAACGGTCAGCTGAAGTGGCCTGCAGTACTGCACCCTAACCACTGCGCCACCTCGGCTCCTTATCTCCCTTGAAACACTGCCAGAGACCTAACTGCCAATTAATTTTGCAAGGCCCAACAGAGCACAGAGTCAAACGGAGCTTCAGAGTTTAAACTGACCAGAATGAACCTCCTCTTTTATGTCTTATGGGAGGGGCCAATCATCTCCAAGCCTTACTCCGGAGTCGTCCCTTTTGTCTGAACTGTTCTCGCCTTCTGGCAGCTCTACGCATGCGCGCACTGTGAACAGGCTCCCCCTGTTCCTCTGTCTCACTGATGTCAGACTCCGGAGGCCCCAAAGGCAGCACATGGCCCCCTCTCTGCCTCCAATACAGAGCCTTATCCGAACCTTCCCCAGACTCCAGAACTGGCCCATGTTCCTCCCCAACCTCCTCATTATCTGGCTCTGCTTCCAGCTCTGAAGGCTGCCGGTCAGTGGTGAGTTGCAGACGGTACGCCCTGATATAGGTGTACCGGTGCCTGCCCGGAGCACCGGATACCGTTCCTGTTGATTGGTTGGTTTCATATTATAACAGCAGCAGAACTGAAAGATTTGATCCACTCCATGGGAAGACATTGTAAGGCTGTAATTCATGCTAAAGGTTAATCAACTAAGTATTAACTGACATGGTGATATTTTTTGTATATCTCATTTTTACTATGGTGATAATTTTTGTACATCTCATTTTTCTACGTGTTCAACTTCTTTATAACTGCTATTTTAAATCCTTCATAAATGTTATTGCATTACATTCTTGATTAAATTATCTTTCCATTGATATATAATTTTTATAGTACTACTAAAAAAGGTGGTGTTATTAGCCATCAAACCTGAAACATACTGTACAGTTTTCCCAAAAGGTTTCCATAATTTTGGCCACTAGTGTATAATATTTTTTTTTAAATAAATTATTTATTTATTTATTTATTTNACACAGCAGCAGCCATGAGGTGACCACACTCACCGCCTCCTGCACCTCAAAAATAATAAGACCTCCCTGAAAATAAGGCCAAGTGCTTATTTCGGGGGGGTCAAAAGAAAATAAGACCCTGTCTTATTTTCGGGGAAATACAATATTGATAGAGCACTGTTTCTCAACTTCAGCAAAGTTAAAATGTGTGGACCAACTCCCAGAATTCCCCATCTTAATGTTGTTTAGGATGGGAAATGGAGTATTTTTTAAAAAAAGAAGTATATTCCTCTACTTATCATTCAACCCATTTGAGCTTGGTGATTTTCTTGCAGACGTTTCATTACCCAACTAGGTAACATCAGCAGGGCTAGAAGGGAATGGGGTTTGCTCTTATTTTTATATATCAATGGCTTGCCTTGTCAGTGTTGGTGGGATGTTTGTGGTGGTTCCTTGATCAGGCTATTGTTTACGGTTAGCTCGCTTGTCTGCATTGGTAGTTCCTTGATTGAAAAGCTAATGTTTTAAGAAATCTGCTTATTAAAGTCAATGCAACTTTCAAAGCAGGGTACCGTCCCCTACCGCCCAAGTTCATATGGTAGCCAGGAGGAAATTGGGCTGCTTTCCTGGACAGCAGAGATATTCCATCTGTGTGAGATTGGAAACACTTCCAAATAACTTTCTAAGCGTGCACAACCCTGGCCTCTTCGCATAATAGAGGAGGGAAGAATGGTGGTATTTTTCTCCTTCAACATTGCAGTTCTCCGATTTGCCACTCACCTGACATTGTGCTCAAAGTTATCTGTTGTTTATCAGGCCCATGCCTCCCTTCTTTCTGGTTCTGAAACATTAGGAGAATCACTCTATTCTCAAGGAAGGAATAACTCTGCAGGAAAATGTTGTCTGCCTCCCTAGCAAATCTTTTGGGGAAAAAATGATAGCAAAGCATACTTTTGAATGAAATGAAGTCTGGTTTAATAAGAGACGAACAGGAGTCGGAAGACATTTTATTTGTTTAGATTTCTTCTGTTCAAGGATCCATGACTTTTTTTAAAGATATATTAGATGTAG